GACGTTAATCGCTGTGATCTTCCCTCCGTTCAGTTTCAGTTCATATATATATTTAACTCCTCCACTCAGCACTGTATTACTTGCTTGTTTGATGTTTGATATGAGCATAATCTGGAAAACAAACTCCAGCTGACACGATACACTCCACTTCTCTTCTGCTGAAATGCGGATTCACTCAATAATACACACAATACCCAAACCTCTTCAGCTTTAGGACAATGCTTCAGTGCTTTAGGACAGGCTTCTTCTCTGTGTCTGAATGTTAGCGGTTTGTGTTTAATTCTGTTGGACAGGATCAGCTGAGGAAGCTGGTGTTCGAGAGGCCCTTGGTTTTTGTCTGGGGCTGCGTCTGAAAATATGATCAAACCCAGCTGGTTTATTAAAGTCCTTCAACATTTGTCCTAAAGTGCTGGAGGTGTTTTGAGTCGGTGGCAGGTTTTGTATCTTTGCTGTTGTGGGGGTTTAACTGGAGTGTCAGAATGAAGGATGTTGTCAAATCTCAGACAACACCACACACACTTTATAATGTCCTGATAAACGCAGGAGTGTGTTAAGTTAAACACTGATATTAGCTAGGTGCTCCACAGAGTGAAACCAATATCTGTGCATACCTGTGCCTATTAAACCCTTATAGAAATAAACCATATAGAAATCCTTCTTTAAATAATGAATTGATGTTTTAATATTGTTTATTTTTATTTGATGAATTCGTAATGGAGCTGCAGTAAAACACTTGATTTCCCTCTGGGTTTAATAATGTGTTTGTGTGGTTTACAGGCTGATGTGGATGCGATCAGCTGAAACCTGCGGCGTGTTTGGAGAATTAAAGTGTCTGTAAAACACAGATCTCCACTACTCAAAGCTATTGTACAGCCCTTCACACTGCGAGCTTCCTCTTATGGCAGAATAACTCTCATTTGGAATTAATATTTCTATGTTGTGTGTTCTTTATCTAATCCATTGTTCAAAGACTTTTAATAATTATATCTGAAGTGGTTGTCAACATTGGCTGGACCCGACTGCATCAGAAGAGCACATTTACACAGCAGCGGCGGCGGCAGAAGGTACGTCTGATCATCAGTTAGAGCATTTATATATGTCTCGTCGCCTTCTTCTGTGTGCTTCAGTCTGACGATGTAGTCTGTTTGATTAGTTCTGTGGTTTATTTCTGTCTTCATGGTTTTGGTGTGCTGCTTGTGTGTATGAGCTAGTTTAGCTGTATATGATGGAGCGCTTGTTACACTGTTTGTAGGAAAGTGTCTGGAGCATATAGAATCAAGTAAGGTAGACAGCAGAACACCTGAAAAAACACCTGCATCCTGCTTCCACAGGGCATCTGGGACTTAACTTTGGACAGGTGTGTGTGTTTGACAGTTTGGTTTTTTCAGACATTTTCCAAGAATCTGGAGCTGCAGCAACAGGTGAGACTAAACTAGCAAGTACTGAAACAGTAAGTAAATATTTATCTTATCGACAAGTGAGTGTTCCTCTGGGTTATCAATAGTTGAGTGTTCCACAGGGTAAATGACAATTGAGCGTTCCTCTGGGTTATCGACAGGTGAGCGTTCCTCTGGGTTATCGACAGGTGAGCGTTCCTCTGGGTTATCGAAAGGGGAGCGTTCCTCTGGGTTATCGACAAGTGAGCGTTCCACTGGGTTATCGACAAGTGAGCGTTCCACTGGGTTATCGACAAGTGAGCGTTCCACTGGGTTATCGACAAGTGAGCGTTCCACTGGGTTATCGAAAGGGGAGCGTTCCTCTGGGTTATCGACAAGTGAGCGTTCCACTGGGTTATCGACAAGTGAGCGTTCCTCTGGGTTATCGACAAGTGAGCGTTCCACTGGGTTATCGAAAGGGGAGCGTTCCTCTGGGTTATCGACAAGTGAGCGTTCCACTGGGTTATCGACAAGTGAGCGTTCCTCTGGGTTATCGACAGGTGAGCGTTCAACTGGGTTATCGACAGGTGAGCGTTCCACTGGGTTATCGAAAGGGGAGCGTTCCTCTGGGTTATCGACAAGTGAGCGTTCCACTGGGTTATCGACAAGTGAGCGTTCCTCTGGGTTATCGACAGGTGAGCGTTCCTCTGGGTTATCGACAGGTGAGCGTTCCACTGGGTTATCGACAAGTGAGCGTTCCACTGGGTTATCGACAAGTGAGCGTTTCACTGGGTTATCGACAAGTGAGCGTTCCACTGGGTTATCGACAAGTGAGCGTTCCACTGGGTTATCGACATATATATATATATATATATATATATATATATATATATATATATATATATATATGTCGATAACCCAGTGGAACGCTCACTTGTTATATATATAAATATATATATAAATATGCATTTTGGGAATTTGCAACATTTGTGCTGTCCAACTGATGAAGATGTTTTCTTAAGTTGCAGCTCCCTCAGCCACTGTAAACTTCATTGTAATCCTAAAGTTTTTAAATGAAGTATTTCTTCTGTAAATGTACTGAGATGTATTTTGACTTAACTGAGACTGTGTTCTGATTATGAATTTTGTGTACCATTACAACTCTGATGCATGTTCAGTTCAAGTATGAAATGTGTGTAAAAAAAAAGGTGGATGCAGAGTTTGCCTGCCGTCACTCTCTCTGTCAGCTGTACATGAACGAGCAGAAATGCAAATTTAAATTTGCTGAATGACAGTTTGAGTTACCTGTTGTAACTGAGTTATTTATCTGCCCGAGTATTTTTCATTAGATGAGCATTTTTTAGTCTTATGCTTTACCCAGAATATAAAAATACAAAATAGACTTTAAACCAGCACAACAAAACATGTTTAAGAAGAGAATCATTATAAAGTAATTTTTTTTATCCAGGATTTAAGTCTGTAGTTCACGCACATCGTTGATAACAAAATTATTTGCCCTTCTGTGACATTTTCATTCTTTTACAATATATTTTAAAGACATTTTAAACATAATACTTTTAATAAATCATTTCTGACCAATTTCTTTTCTTTGCCATGATGACAGTGTATAAAATATATATATAAAATAATTTTGCCAGTTATTTTGCAAAACCCTAGTATTAAGATAAAAGTATAAAGGCTTAACTTTGTTAATTAGGTTAACTAGGGAAGTTAGGTTATTTAGCAAGTCAATGGACAACAGTTTTTTCTTTTTGTTCTGCAGCATTTGAGGGGAAACTTGTTACTTAAGCGGCTAATAATGCTGATATTAGCTGTTTTACTTTCTTTTTTCATTACAATCAAACTATAATAAACAACAAGTAAGCAATAAAATAAGTAATAAATAACTTTCTCCAACGCAAAATTGGAGCTGCTCTCAAGTGGATCATCTTTCCACAGTAACATTTGTATTAAGCTGATTTGAATCGGTTTTATTTAAACTAGAACTACACCAGCTTTTGTCATGCCTGCCTTAAATGTTGTAATGTTCCCCAATCTGAAATACTGTTTTAGGTTTTATTCACTTTTCTTCATCGATATACATTGTAAAAGTACTATGGATATAAAGACCTGTTATGGACTAATGTTCAAAAAATCGAATCATAAATAAGACACTGCAAATAAAATTCATTTTGGGATTTAGTTTTATTGTACCTAATCATATATTATGTCTGGGTGTTGGGTTTACGCCCCACTCTTGACCGCTTTTAAAGTCAAGTTTTAGTACTGACCAGGCTTTATCCTGCTTGTCTTCAGTTAGAATTATAGTTTACTTTTAAACCTTCTTCATCACACAAACCACAGTGCACTTTCGAAGTACTCTAACCAGTGCTTAGTTTGTAAATGAAACATTTCTGGAACAAGTCTGGCCATAAGTCACCGTGATCCACATCCACCACATGATTTCAGTTTTCCCGGAACATGATGTCATTAAAAGGTGATAGTGCATAAATCTTATAAACATCACCATTTAGTCTAATGAGTTACTCTGTCTGATCTTCAAGAAGAGCCCACAGTTCCCTGTTCTGTCATCTTTTCAGGCTGACTCACTTTGCTTTGTTCTCCCGCTATACTGATGCAGGAACACAGTTCCTTCTCGAGATCTCTCTTGATCAGGCTCATTATCAGAAGTCTGTCACATACAATCCACACAGCCTTGCTTGCTGAATTGTTTAAAATAAATACCGGAATGCTAAACATAAAAATCTGACATTTTCCGGAACAGGGTCTGGTAATACCTGGCTCAAATTAAGCACTGAGTACAGAACAAACTTGATTAGATGCGTACATTGTTTTCTGTGTGTTTTCAATGTCACTGCTAACACAATATACTATGAACTCTTTAGCGACTCAAACTGATCATGTTAATTTTGGTTAGGAAAGTATAGGTGTATGAGCACGTGCCACACATACAGCTTTGAACAGTAGGTGTGTTTCCATTACACTTTAAATTGCACACACACAAAAAAATGCAAATATGCTTAACAAACCCGTCCATTTTGCTAAAGCTCCCATGAAGTTGTGCTTGCATGAGGTGATTATTCAGACAATTAAAAAATGGCAAATCTCCAAAAGAAGCTTGTATATATTTATTCAAATGTACAGGTCACACACAGTATGAAGAACACACACACACGCCCTTCATCTGAATCTGCTTTATGCATAAAAAAAATACCAATAACAATGGTTTATGCATACAAACAAGTAGACGAACCCAGAATATTAATTTAACATGCAAATTACCATCACAGATTTACAGATCCATCATGCTGTTAAAAGTAATCGCGCAGATGTAGGCCTAGAATATCATTCTCAACTACAAAATGTGCAGATTTACTGTTATTTAACGTAAAATGAAAAGTTTTAGCCACAACAGTGGTTAATTTCACAATAGTTTATCCATACTTGAAAAATCCCCAAAGACACAGATTTGTCATGTAAACTCACCTAGTGATAAACAAATTTAAGACCATAGTCTGAATGTTAATGATGCTAAATTTGATGTTAAAGTTTTCTTTTTAAAACACCACCAGCATAACTGCTTGGAAGAGATCGAAATCACCTTTACAAGTATGTGGAAGTGCTCTCATATGATGCACTCTGGTATTCATCTACACCGTTCTCCTCCAGGATTTTGGTGATCGTCGACAGTGTGCTATTTGGATCCAGCAGAGTGACCAGAGGAATGTTCACGCCTCTGTAAGAAAAGATATGATTCTGCAGTGTCATGGCCAACATCGAGTCTATGCCGAGTTCAAACAAGTGAACATCATCACTCAGCTCATCCTTCTCAACCCCTGCTGTTTCACTAATCAAGAACCTCAGATAATCATGAGGGGAGGAGGATGTCATGGGTTGCTCGGGTCTAGATGGGTTCACCCCAGCTCTAATGAAGGCTTCTTTTGCTATTTTGAACAAGCGTGCGTTCAGTGATTTGTTTTGACTGAGAACACTGTTCCAGCTGTTTTTAAAACTGAACCGGCATACAACCTGTTGAGGTTTGTTGATCAAAAGGCACTGCTCGAGGCTTTCGTGGATCTCTGGGACCTCCAATAGCAAGATTCCTTTGGCCTCCAGAAATCTTTGAAAATGGACTTTGTCCAACAGAAGACCAAGATTCAACGCCCCCCAGTTAATGGACTGCCCAGCAAGCCCAATGTTTCTGCGGTACTGACAGAAAGTGTCCATGAATGTATTAGCCGCAGCATAATTTGTTTGTGAGGCATTGCCCATGAAGGCAGAGATGGAAGAATAGCACACAAAATAATCCAGATTGCACTGAATGGTGGCACGATGGAGGTTAATCACTCCATTGACTTTGGGCCTCATTACTTTCTCGTACAGAGATTTGTCAAGACGTTCAATCAGCCCATCATGCAAGACAACGGCACTGTGAAACACACCTTTGATGGGACTGGATGGAAAAAGTTTTTTAACCTTGGCAATTGTCTGATCCACCTGCTCAGATACAGAAACATCACATGGCAGAGACTTAATTACAGAACCGCAGCGGCTACTGAGCTGACTTATTTCTTGCTGCATCTCTGGGTTCGGATTACGTCTAGACAGAATGACGATGTGCTCTCCCCCTTTCTGAGCAATGAACTTTACAGTCTCAAAGCCCAAGCCTGTTAGACCTCCTGTGACAATGTACACTGATTTTTTCTTGAACAGATTGTTTTTGGGGATCACTGGGATCTCAGACAGCTGGTTCTTGTCTTCACTGTTCAAGATTATAATGGGTAGGATCTGGCATGTGAAGTAGGAATCAGATTCCTTCACAGACAGAAGATCAATGTGTTGGGAATTCGCTCTTTGAACAGCTGTTGTATCCAGAGACATGGACTTTCTGTTCAAATGCATAGATTTCTGCCAACGGTAGATTTTGGGCATTTGTGTCTGAAGAGACCATTTCTGCAGTACTTGGGACATAAAGACGAAATGAAAGTGGACCTCCTCATTTGTACTTCTGAATGTTGCCGAATTCAGGGGGACCTCTGTCTGATTGTCACAGACAAACACAATGTCGTTGATGCCTTTTATACGGCTAGCTACTTCAGCAGTCACTAGATTATAAGGGGGTAGAAACACAGCTCCCACAACCTCACTAAAATCACAAGACAGCTGATCAGTCTGTGTGCAGACTTTGACATTCCAACCTGATCTGTTTGCTATAGCAAGTAAGACATTAATCAAAGCTGAATCGGGAACTGTGGAAAAAATGCCCAGTTTTCTTTGCACTTTGATCTTGGGTAGAGCTTTATGCAAGATCTCCCAAGCCAGAACCATGTAAGACACACAGGGGATGTCATTGAGGAATGAAAGCCTTTTTGCTTTGCAGCAAACAGCTGCTGGGATAACTACTTTAGATGTGGCAGACACAGGGTAACAAGACACAACGTGATCACCGACTTTAAACTTGCTGACATCTTTGCCCACAGCTGTGACTGTGCCACTGTAGTCAAGGGCTAAGAGGTTATGGTGTTGAGATGTGTGCTTGTTCCAATACAACGTATGACCATAACTCAGGTCAGACATGCTGACTGGAAAGTAGTCTGATGAATGAACACAGATTTTATTGAGGTGAAGCTCAACATGTTTTCCCTGAATTGGTTGAATGGAATTTTCCATTTCAGTTGCTGACAAATTTCTCATCGCATATGGGTCTGACGTTTGCAAGATGAAGAGTTCTTCATCTAACATGTGGACCTTTTGCAAAGGGCTTGCCATACTTGGCAAAGGTGTGTGGGTGATTTCAGGCTGGAGAATGTTGCCCTCTTTCACTACTAGCTCTGGATATTTGTGACAGGGGTAGGATCTGAGAACCTGAACCAAAGCTTTGATGTCTTCAGAAGTGCCCGAGCCCATGTCAATCAGCTGGAAGGAAAGCTCTTGCAACTCAGCTGCACATGCTCTTGTCATGCCTGTCAAAACATATCCAGGATTTATGGAGTCCACTATGCTCTCAGAGGATCTATAGGTTATGACTCTGATAACCCCTGGGAACTGAAGTGCTTTGAGGTATCTGACAGTCTTTCTGAACATCTCACAGCATCCTGCCATGCTTTCCAGGACCTTTTCAGATTCCAGTGTGGTTAGGTCTGCATCACTCCACATGAACAGAATTTCCTGGAAATTTTTCTTTACACTTGAAATTGCTAGTTTTGACAAAAGAGTTTCAACCCCACCTTCTAACAGTGTGCTGCTGTCTGAAAAAGATACACATCTAGATCTCGAGTCCAAATGCTGCTGCAAAGCTTTAAATATTCCAAGCTGGTCAGAAAAGACCAGTGCCTTAATCTGTGTGTCCAACATGTCATCTTCAGAGATTATATCAAAACTGTTATGAAAGAAGTACTCCTTGACCACTTCAGAACGACTTCCTATCATTTTGATCTTCACATGCTTGATTTCAACCAACACCCTACCTTGTTTGTTGGCCAAGCAGCCACAAATTTCAAACCCATCATCTCCCACATCTACAGCTCTGAGATACACAACCAGCTCCTCTTGCAGTGGTTCAAACACAGTCAGGCTTGCTATTTGTGCAGGAAACTGGGGCCTTGCTGATTGGTCATTTCCTAAAGTTACAGGAGCAAGTTGCATGAAGTAATCCAAGACCACAGGGTGAAGGTGATAGTCGTGTAATTGATGGAGCAATTCCTTTGGGACCTTCACAACAGACAATGCCTCTCTGAATTCTTCACCACAATAAACATCTGCCTTATTCCTGAAGACGGACCCATACTGGAATCCTGTTTGACTTAGTTGCTTGTAGAATTCTTCAGAAGTCATGTGCAATGTGCATCTTCTAGAAATAGAGTCTAATGAAATGAACTGTTCTTCAGGCCTCCTTCCTGGTTGTACTTCTACAGAGCCAAATGCATAGACAGCAGAAGTTGAGTGTATTTTGAAGTTATGCATGCTATCTGCCAAATTTTCAAGCTGAACTTTTATATGTGGGGCATTCTGAGTGAAAGTCAGTGGACTCTGGAATGTTATGCTGAGTTGCAGGGAACTTAGTGGGACCTTGGGTTTTGCATATTCCATGAAAGTTGCCAAACCCAACTCGGTATAAAATGCTCCAGGGATGATGGCAACTCCATTGTGCTTGTGATCCTGCAAGAAGGCCACTGATTCAGATGACAAATCACAGCTGAATACTGAACTGTCTGTACTCATTTGTGTAACCACTGGATGGTTCCGAGTTGTACCAGTCAACTGCAAATCCGAAGCAAACACTTCTCTTTTCACATCATCAAACTGGTAACGAGGGAATGGTATTGGTTCAGCCTCCCAACCTTTGTAGAACAGATCCCAGTTTATGTTGGCCCCAAGCTCAAACAATTTAGAAACAACTGCAAGCATCGTCTCATGATCTTTATCAGGCTGTACTGCAGGAACCACAGCGATGTCTTTCCCCAAAGTCTCGGTGATGTACCTCTGCAAAGATCGCCTTGGGCCAATTTCAACAAATATCACATTCCTTTTGTTTTTAGTTGCAGACTTGACCGCTTGTTCAAATTCCACTGCTTGTCTGATATTTCTTGCCCAATATTCACCAGTAATAAAATCTGTGGAACATGAACTAACACCTGTCACTGTTGAGAACAACTCCATCTCCAAGTCACATGTCTGCAATGAGCCTATATCCTCTTTCACTCGAGATACTATGGGATCCATCATGTGACTGTGGTATGCTGCAGGTACATCCAAAATGCGGAGGAACAAATCTTTCCCATTGGTAGAGCTGCTCAATTTCTGATGCAAGCTGTCAATTTCAGCTGCATCCCCTGAGAGAGTGCATGACTGAGGGCTGTTGTAGGCAGCGAGACAGACTCTTCCTGAATGAGATGGAAGCATGTTCAAGATCTCAGAAACAGCCATATTACTGACGACCAGCATCTTTCCCCCTGTCACAGTGCTTTGTAAAGAACTACGATAGTGTATGACTTTCACTGCATCTTCAAGTGACAACAAACCAGAGCAATGAGCTGCCGCGACCTCTCCAATAGAGTGGCCAAGAACAGCATCAGGACTGATTCCCCAGTGTTTCAGAAGTTTGAAAACCGCAACCTGAATGGCAAACAGAAGAGGCTGGACGAGCTGTGGATCAGACAAATCTTTACTCATTTCAGATCTACCTTCCAGCATCTCTATCAGATTTTGTCTTCTGTAGATTTTTAGCAAAGTTTCAATCTTCACGATTTCCTCTCTGAAAACTGTCTCGTGTTTTAGGAGCTGCTGGCACATGCCCTGGTATGTGACTCCATTTCCACAAAACACAAAAACTACCCTGGAGTCTGTCTTTGACAGTACTAGCCTTTTGTCCACAGCAGCGGTGAGTTTGTCTTGCAGATCTGCTAATGACGATGTTTGAAAAGCGTTCCTGTATTTGTGTTTCAGGTGACTTCTTCTACATGCAGATGTGTACAGTAAAGACTGTAGATCTGAAATTTTCCCTGCACCGATCTGATCTGCTGTGTCTCTAATGATATTTCTCATGGATTTCTCAGAGGCAGCAGACACCACAAAATACTGACAGGATTTGCTGATGGGCTGAGATTTGGGCTTTTTTGACTGCACATATTGTTTGACTATTGCGTGTGCATTTGTTCCACCAAACCCAAAGTTATTGATTCCTGCAATCCTCCCTGCCCTGTTGTTACTGATCCATTTTTGTACTCTGGTGGGGATATTCATATTGAGAGATTTCAAGTCTATGCTGGAGTTTTCTTTGGAGTAGAATAATGATGGCACAATAGTTTCATGCTGCATCATCAAAAGAACCTTTATGAGGCCAGCAACACCTGCAGCAGATTCTGTGTGTCCGATGTTGCTCTTCACAGAACCAATGATGAGGGGCCCTGACTTCTGAGATCTTTCTTTAGCAATGACTTTTGACATGCTACCTGCTTCTACTGGATCTCCCACTGGAGTTCCAGTACCATGAGCCTCAATGTACTGGACACTACACAGGTCAGCCTCTGTTGAGTAGATTTTTCTGAGTAGCTCCTCCTGCTGTACCATGGACGGTTTGGTGATTGGGCTAACACTGTGGCCGTCTTGGTTTACTGCAGTTTTGCCGATTACTCCCCAAATGTGGTCGTGATCTTCGAGAGCCTGTCAAAAACAGACAACACATTAATGTTTCTTGCAGTAGGTTATCATGTAGGACAATATTGTTGTTTTGCTATCAACATACTCTTTTGAGAGGCTTTAGTAGGACGACCCCGCATCCTTCACCTCTTCCATATCCATCTGCTTTGCTGCTAAAAGGTTTACTTGTTCCATCAGGGGAGATCATTTTTGCCTTTGAGAGAGCCACAAAAAGGGCTGGCTCCAAGATACAACTCACACCTCCACACACAGACATATCACAGTCTCCTGTTGAGCACAATATAGACAAAGACACATTACAGAAGCTATAGATCATTATACTAAAAGGTGCTGTTCCCCTTCGGATGGGGAACTTCAATGCTATTAGTGGATTTTAATCCATGTATGGGGATTTCGTTTCAGAAAGCCAATTGTCTGAAAGAGTATATAACGGGCCAATGAAATGCCAAATGAGTTGGCAGCGTAAGCTTGTGCATGTGTGCCTTATTGCAATCAACTCCACATATAAGCACAGGGAAGCAAGGAAACGCCATCCGTTTCGCTTCAGAGACTGTTACAGCCTTCCGAGAGAGTCGATGAGGGTTCCTCCTGCTGATATCCAGCGATTTCTAGCGAACGAGAGCAGTCTCCCGGTCCAGAGTGTGTACATGCAGCAGCAGATGGTCGAGCTGGGTTTCTGCCTTGCCTGGCGTTCTTTGAGTCCGGTCCTCTAGAGTGGTGCATATGAAGTTGCAAATTTCACAAAAGGAGCAACACAGTGGTGCAGCACTTCCTTTTCAGGATTTCACTTCCCAACTAGATGAGTGCTATGTAGAGGACCAGAGGGCTAAGCCTTTAAAGCCTATCGTCCCCTTCTTCCCGGAGGTGCACAGTAGGCTCACACAATCTTGGAGGGTACCTTTCTTTGATCGTGCTGCTTGTTCCTCCGCCCTCACCACTCTTGACGGAGGAGCGGCCAGGGGGTATAAAGCGATTCCTCAGGTCAAGTGCGGAGCCAGAGCTTACAAGGCTGCGGGCCAGGCTGCTTCCGCCATGCACGCTATGGCCACCTACCAGTGCTCCCAAACACAGGTACTGCTCCGGCTGCACAAGGGTGGGTCCAACCCAAGCCTGCTTCACGAGCTTCACACCGCAAACGACTACGCGCTACGGACCACTAAGTCCACTGCGTGTGTGTTGGGTAGGACGATGTTCACATTAGTGGTCCAGGAGCGCCACCTCTGGCTAAATCTGGCTGATATGCGCAAAGTCGACATAGTCCGCTTTCTTGACTCCCCCATATCCCAGGCTGGCCTGTTCGGCGACACAGACGGTGAATTCACCCAGGAATTTAAGGCGGTGAAAGAGCAGTTTAATTTGATGGGTAATATCCCTGGAGGGGCAGACCCCATTTCCAAAGGCACTTTTCACTGCCATGAAAACATCAATGAAAGAGCACTTCTCTACTTCCCCGGATGTGACGCCCGAAATCTGCCAGTCTGAGATGCTATGCTTCTAGCTCGCAGGTTCTGTGCATTTTGCCAATGGCTCACGAGCGCTGGGAGGACGGTCTCTTTTCTCCCACCCCTCGAGCCTCCCCTCTGGAGTTTGGGTGCGGAGTGAGAGCAAATCTCTCGCCTCCAGCTCTTCCGCGGGACCCTCGCGCTTCCCGGATCAGTACACCCACGCTGCGCTTTCCCACTGCTGGTGCTTTAGAGATCGTAGCAATGAGTCCATTAGCAAGAGCGCTGCCTGCCTGGTTGACGACTGCCAGCCCTTTGCGGTGGCTCATACACACAATCAGACTAGGCTATGCGATTCAGTTCACGAAATGGCCCCCCAAGTTCACGGGTGTGTATTTCACCAGGGTCATCCCACTGTCCGCCCCTGTCTTGCGAGAGGAGATTTCTGTCCTCCTGGTGAAGGATGCAATCGAGCCAGTCCTTCCAGCCAAGATGGAGAGTGGGTTTTACAGCCCACACTTCATCATGCCCAAAAACAGCGGTGGGTCACAGCCAATCCTAGATCTGCTCGTTTTGAACCGCTGCCTGCACAAGCTGCCGTTTAGAATGCTCACGCAGAAGCGCATCCTACGATGGTCAAGATTTCTTCCTCTCCACCGTCACTTTCTGGGGTTTGCATTCGAAGGTCAAGCTTGGCAATACAAATTCCTCCCCTTCGGGCTCTCTCTGTTTCCGCGGGTCTTTACCAAACTCTCGGAGGGTGCCTTAGCACCCCTTTGGCTCGCGGGCATTTGCATACTCAATTATCTCGACGACTGGCTGATTTTAGCCCACTCTCGGGAGCAATTGATTATGGACAGAGACAAGGTGCACTGGCACCTCCACCTGTTGGAGCTTCAGGTCAACCAAGAAAAGAGCAAACTCGCCCCCGTGCAGAGGATCTCTTTTCTCGGGCTGGAGCTGGACTTGGTCACCATGACAGCACGCCTCTCCGGAGAGCGCTCTCAGCTGATGCTGAACTGTCTGAGAGAGCTCAACAGCAAAATAGTGGTCCCACTGAAATTATTTCAGAGGCTCCTGGGGCATACCGCATCTGCATCTGCTGTCACGCTGCTCGGATTAGTCCATATGAGACCAGTCCAGCACTGGCTTCACGAACGAGTCCCCAGACGCGCATGGCATGTGGGCACACACCAAGTCTCTGTTACTGCGCGGTGTCGCCGCACCCTCAGCCCTTGGAACGACCCCTCGTTCCTACAGGCCGGAGTGCCTCTAGAAAGGCATCCAGTCATGTTGTTGTTTCAACAGATGCTTCCAGCACAGACTGGGGGGCTGTGTGCTGCGGGCATGCAGCTTCGGGCCTGTGGAAAGGAACCCAGTTGCATTGGCATATCAATCGCCTGGAGTTGTTGGCAGTGTTCCTCGCTCTCCACCGTTTTTTTTTTTTTTTTCCGGTGTTGGAGCAGCAGCATGTGCTGGTCAGGATGGACAGCACGGCGGGAGTGGCGTATATCAGCCGCATTGGGGGTATTCGCTTTCGCTGCATGTCTCAGCTTGCCCACCGTCTGCTACTAAGGAGTCATCCATGGCTGAAATTGCTGTGTGCCATTCACATTCCAGGCAAGCTCAACCCTGCAGCCGATGCGCTCTCACGGCAGCCTTTACGTCCCGGAGAATGGAGACTCCACCCCGAGTCTGTTCAGCTAATATGGGCACGATTCGGGGAAGCCCAGATCGATCTGTTTGCTTCCCCTGAGAATGCTCATTGCCAATTGTTCTTTTCCCTGACCGAGTGCTCTCGGCACGGATGGACTGGCCCACAGCTGGCCTCGGGGCATGCACAAATATGCGTTTCCCCCAGTGAGCCTGCTCGCGCAGTTACTGTGCAAGGTCAGGGAGGACGAGGAACAGCTTTTGCTGGTTGCACCCCTCTGGTTACTTAGGTAACCTACCGATTGCGGTGGTTAATACCGTCACTCGGGCTAGAGCTCCCTCCTTGAGTTCGCCTATGTATTTACAATCTGCTAGTGGAGCCGGTTTCCTCAAGGGTATTAGGTAACCCTTGGTGATTGAGGAAACAACTCAGTTAAAGTGTTGAAACACGCTTGCTGCGCCATTCTCCCTAACACGGAGATACGTGCGCTTTTTCATCTGTCAGTAAAGTTCCCCGTTTAGTGAGCCCTGCAGATTCCTCCGAGGCCCCTAGCACTGACTCAGCGGAGGAGTCACCTGCTGGCCCACTACGTTGTAGGTCTGCTCGCTGGTCAGCCCGCGTTTTGGGTATAGGTGCCCGCTATGCGTGATCCCCACTAGGCGATCCCATATGCTTATTCAGCCACTGTGCTGTCCCCCCTCACGGGCGGACCCGTGTCTTCCCTCAAAGCTAACCATCTTATTATATGCGTACTCCCCCTTCTCAGGGCATATATTTTGCCATCATATCTCCCCATTGGGTAGCAGGTGGCCTCCACAGCATCCTCCCTATCGGGACTGCACGCTTTCCCAACGTACTGTCATATTTTCCTAGAATTATCTGGATGCTTGCGACTCCCAAAAAATATATCTACATCCATAAAACTTCTTTTGAAGTGGGATAAGGGCCAGGGACCACGTTGGAGGGCCACACCTCTCATGATGCAGGAGCGCTCACGCTATGCCTGGCTATCCTCTCATCAGAGGCGAAGGTAAGGTGCAGTCATTATGGCGTTCTCCAGACATTTCCCCATTCATGGATTTAATCCACTGATAGCATTGAAGTTCCCCATCCAAAGGGAACGCTCTGGTTTCTAAAGTAACCCTCGTTACCTGAAGAGGGGAGTGGAAATGCTATTTAGCATCGCCATAATGATTGTTTCTTAGCTGTAAGTATCAGTCTCTTCAGCTTAAAAGGATGGCATTTCCTTGCTTCCCTGTGCTTATATGCGGAGTTAATTGCAATAAGCCACACTTGCGCAAGCTTACACTGCCAACTCATTTGGCATTTCATTGGCCCGTTATATACTTTTTCAGACGATTTGGCTTTCTAAAACGAAATCCCCATACTTAGATTAAAATCCACTTATAGCATTTCTGTTCCCCAAGGGTTACTCTAGTAACCAGAGCGTTATATACACAAATCAGATGATTGTTATACTACACAAGTCACGTTTAACTGCAGGTTGCAATAATATTGCAACAATGATAGACATTATTTGAATAAATACAATATAAATAAATAAAAGTTCCAGTTAATCGCAATATAGTTATAGGGTTTAAACTTTTTAAAGGTAAACGTTTTTTAGTGGTGGTGCATGCCATGTTAAATGTTATTTTCAATTCATCATGATTAAATAAATGACTAAATAGAGCCTCTCACACTTAATGTGTACATTCAGTCTCCATAGTAACGTCTATAATCATATTATATAATCAGACTCCTTTGTGGACAGCAAGAAATCAATACTAAATGAGTATGACTTGTGAACTGAAGTAGCCAAAATTCTTACCATTCCTTATTTATGCATTACTCAATATTGTGACTTTGGTAGACAGAATACAAAGCGAGCTTCCTTTAGAATACAAATAGCAAAAATGAATAGCCATGTTGTTCACACGGTACATTTGTGTGAGGATTACCTTGCTTTATGGCTTGACAAGCAAAGTGAAGGGCGACGAGGGATGATGAGCAGGCACAGTCGATGGCCACGGAGGGGCCGGTGAAGTTGAATATGTATGAGATGCGGTTGGCAGCTATGCTCATAGCAACCCCAGTGCCAGTGGTGTGGCTGATATGCTTTGGATTATTCCTCACGGTTGCCAGCTCAAAGTCTCTGTTCATCAACCCTGAAAACCAAACACAAAAGTTTAGCTCTGTTGTTCTAACCTTGTTCTTGGAGCGCCCAGCACTGCACATTCTAGATGTCTCTTTTAACAGACACATGCTTTTTAGATCCCTGGGCACGGGTGTCAACCTTCTGGAGGGCCACAGCTCTGCACAGTTTTACTGTAACCCTAAATAAACACACTTCATCCAATTAATTCAGTACTTCAGGCTGTTATGGAACCTACAGGCAATTATGTTGAAGAACTGAAGTGAGTTTGTTACCCCTGTCCAAACGCAACATAGAACATAGCCTACAATATAGCCTAGTTGTGACATAACAAAGCGCTAAGTTACTAAGTTAGCAAGTAACTTTATACACCACTAAATAATTGTGTTGTAACATTACATTAATTTAACATACCTACTTAGCCCAGCCTGATCTCACGAGGAAACATAAATATTTTACGTTTTGTCAGTTTAGTGGCGAATTTGTACGATTTTAAAAAGGAGGCATGGCACCCAACCCCACCCCTAACCCCCACGGTCATTGGGTGATGAGCTAATCGTACAAAACTATGAATTAGATCGTACGAATTGAAATGAATTAGCCACTAAATCAAAAAGTTACGAACTGCTGTGAGATTGTGTTGACTGAGCCCCGTGTGTGGATTTCGCATTAGTACTACTGAGGTAGGGTTAGGTGTGTTTAAATTGAGGAGACATGCGCAATGTGCGGTAGTGGCTGGAAGTTTGTGTGTGTGTTCTAGAAACGCCCGATTAGCTTATTAACTAACTTGTTTCTTCATGCCATAACAAATACATGCGTATATGAATCCACTGAGATTAATAACTGACCACACATACGTGTTAACCCAAACATCAATCGTAATAATTGTATTAATTTTAGTTTCTGTTACCCAAATATACTCCTGTTCGTGTTCCACTGGCCTTTTCCATGGGTATCCCAGCATCCTCTAGTGCCCTGTAGGTGCACTGCAGCAAGAGTTTGTGCTGAGGGTCCATGGAGAGGGATTCCGCCTCAGTGATGCCAAAGAACTTGTGGTCAAACGCATTTAATCTGCAGAGAATATAAGGTCAGTCATGGGGAGCCACAGGGATTGTGTACTACTGATGTACCAGACAGATTTAACTGAATATTGAGAAGTATAATGATGACAAGCAGAATGAATGACCACTGAGCTTTACCCGTCAATGAGTGCTGCCTTTGCTGTGTAGGTCTTTCCCGCTTTACTCTCCTCTGGATCGTACCACTGAGAGAGGTTAAACCTGTCATTCGGTATCTGAACAGCACAGTTCTTCCCCTCGAGCAGGACACGCCAAAAGTTTTCAAGTCCCTCACCTGAAACAGAACATATACAATAAGAATGCAGTCCAAAATCATAACATGAGGCATAGTGAAACACTGCAAACTGTTCATAATCACCTCCGGGGAAATGACACCCAACACCAACAATAGCAATTTCTGTATCGTCATCCATCATGTCTCAAACTCTGTGTGCTGATACATTTACAGGATCTGGTGATGGGAAAAGCAAACATGGAGGCGAATAAAACAACTGTAATAATACAAAACAATCATCAGATGGAGGACGCGTGACTCGCTTGATTAAAGTAAGAAAATAACTTGACTTGAACTTCGAATAATAAACAGAAATCAAATGTGTTTTTGAAAATGTGTGAAGGGCTTCACACACAGGAGACTGTAGATAGCATGTGAGATGAAGCATGCTTGTTGTGCATGCACTGCAGAAAAGACACGTCAGCATCCTCCTAACTTTACAACTGTGGCTTTTCTGAGCTGTGAAGGTAAAGGGAAACATGAGCAGGGCTCTTACTTTGCCTCCGTTGTGTTTCTATAATTCATTTATAGTAAAACTTATGCATATATATAATTAAAATTCATAAGAATCTATATATTTTATCACACACTTCTTAATAACCAACATTATTGTATGATTTTCTATTGTATTTTGGATTGTGGTTTCTATTTCTGCACAAAATAATAACTGTAAAGATTAGGGAAAGCTTTGATTTGGTCTTTTTTAGCAATAACAGGGAGGATCCATTGCAACCATTTCTGCAACGTTTTAGTTTATAAAAATTCACACGATTAACTAGTGTCTTACTACCTGCCTTTTTATTAAGATATGAACAGTTTTTTAGTACTTGAGTATGATTTTATTCTGCATCCCTAATATCCTGAACTAACACCAGACTACACTCTAAAAAACGCTGGGTTGGTTTTTTAACCCAAATGCTGGGTTGAGACTGCTGGGTAACAAAATTGGGTTGATTCAACCCAATTTGGGTTGAAAATCGATCTTTATCTATAACCCAGCAGTGCTGGGTTGGGAACGCGGACGTGAAAGAGAGCACGCACGTCACGTCAACATGCAGGGACATCAACGTGAGAAACCGCCATTTTCTTTGCACTGTCTTTGAGGGGAAGCGAGTGAAATTCTGTGTGAGACGTAAGTTATTTAGTGTGTATTTAACAATTTTCATAAGAAATAACACACTTAGTTTACTTAGTATAATATACACGCGCTTTTTTTTCTGTTTCTCCGCCTGACGGCCGACTTGTTGCTCCGCCTCACACTGACCTGCTGCTCCACTTCACCGCCGACCTGTGCTCGCCTTATGGCCGAACTGTTGCTCCGAGTCCGCCTGACGAGCGACCTGTTTCTCCGGACCTGTTTCTCCGCCTAACGGCGACCTGTTTCTCCGGACCTGTTTCTCCGCCTAACGGCGACCTGTTGCTCCGCCTAACGCCCGAGCTGTTGCTCCGCCTAACGCCTGACCTGTGCTCGCCTCACGCCCGACCTGCTGCTCCGCCTCACGCCCAGCCTGTTGATCGGTGGACGGGAAAGCGCGCATGGCATCGGAAGGAGCTCGAAAAGTATAAGGTAACTAATGAAACTAACGTGAAGCATGTTTGATGACCACTTTATAAACACAACACCTAGGATAATTTAGGAGCTTTTTATTGTAATAAAATGCCTTTTGAATGACACAGATTTTTATGTTGGCTAGGTGATGACAGTAAGTAACGTTACTGTGATTTGTGATCTTTCTGGGGTGTTAACTGTAAAGCAGTAAGTAGTATTTTTACTCTTGTATTTCTTAAGTTTGTTCATGGATTTTTGTGACAATACTTTGATGTATAAGTGTTGAATTCAGCTTCTAACAATGTTTTTTTTTAATCAAAATATATACAATAATTGTCCTGCTCTGCATGTACATTTTGTTTAGCTGTACATCTGTACATTGAATAGCAAATGTTATTAATTTACTATGAGCATTTTACATTCTAGACGTGATTTGAGCTATCTTTAATTAATCCTGTATGTAAGGGTCGTTTCATGCTAACGGAAATGTCTGAGCTAAGGCTAATTCCAACCTAATCATCTTCGACTGCAAAAAGAAAAAGTTTGACCACCGTTTTATGTGACACCCTGGATAATTATTATCATTTAGGAGTATTTTTGTGATATAGTGACTTTTGGCTAACATGATCTTTTTTTACTTAATTTTGCTTAAACGCTTTTATCTGTTATTCTTTTTCAGATGGATAATTGCGTGAAAATCAAACTAAAAGAATGCAATCTTGAGGAGTTAATCCCCACATTTGAAGGTATGTAATAATATTTTACTTGGTTCATTGTAATCATTAGGGCTGCCCTTGTCTAAACATTTGTCTGGTTGACTTGTGATGTTCATTTGAAGCATTAGTTGAATAATTACAGATTTATTAATAAACCATTTATTCATTAATTCATTTTCTTTTTGACTCAGTCCCTTTATTAATCTGGGGTCGCCACAGCGGAATGAACCGCCAACTTATCCAGCATATTTTTTACACAGCGGATTCATGCAGCATACATTGACTTTGCCAGTGTGGACTTTTTTTCTGCAACTAGTGGGTAGCACATTCGCCTCATAGCAACAAGGTCACTTGATCGATCCTTGGCTGGGTCAATAGGCGTTTCTGTGTGGAGTTTGCATGTTCTCCCCGTGTTTGCGTGGGTTTCCTCCAGGTGCCCCGGTTTCCAAAGACGTGGTAAAGGTGAATTAAGTAGACTAAATTGTCAATGGTGTATGTGTGTGAATGAGTATTTGTTTCCCAGTGATGGGTTGCAGCTAAAAAGGCATCTGCTGCATAAAACTTATGCTGGATATGTTGGTGGTTCATTCCATTGTGGTTACCCCAGATTAATAAAGCGACAAAGCTGAAAAGAAAATGAATGAATGAATAATAAATTTTTAGTTGACTAATGGTTATTCAATTATTAGGGGGCAGCCCTAGTAATCATTAGCCACTTCAACACTTTAAACTGAGAGATTGAACTCTAATGCCAATTTGTCTTTGTCTGGTTATTTTTAAAAATCTGCTGTTCATGCAACCAGTGACATTCTCTTGTTTTATTTTTAGCACAGGAGCGAACCTTTCCTCGTTTTTAGGTCAATTTGAATACAATTCAGAGGGTAAGGATTCAATTAAAGGTTTCTCGATGCATAATGATGCATTTAATGCATAATGATTGTCTTAGTTATTTTATTAACAATGAAAATGTTATTTTTATGTTTGTTATTAGGGTGGCATGGGGGCGCAGTGGGTAGTGCTGTCGCCTCACAGCAAGATGGTCGCTGGTTTGAGCCTTGGATGGGTTTCCCCTTCACAGTCCAATGACATGCGGTGTAGCTGAATTGGGTAAGCTGCATTGTCCATAGTGTGTGTGTAAATGAGAGTGTGATGGGTTGCAGTTGAAAGGGCATCTGCTGCATAAAACATAAAAAGATGACGGTTTTGTGAAAGTTGTGATTTGGTCACAGCTATGGTTTCTCAAATTTTTAGTCATAAGATGCTTTATATAGATAGTGAATGCAACAAACTCTAAATGGCCTGTAAGCCAATTATTTTCATTAAAGGAGAAGTCCACTTCCAACAAAAGATTCACACATAATGTACTCACCCCCTTGTCACCCAAGATGTTCATGTCATTCTTTCTTCAGTCAGAAAGATTTTTTTTTTAGGAAAATATTTCAGCAATTTTATTCATCTTGGACTGAGATTGTGCCTCATTTTTGAAGTTTTTAAAGAAAATTTAAATGCGGCTTCAAATGATACAAATACGGTTGCAAACAGTCCCATCTCAGGAAGAAGGGTCTTATCTATTCTCATTAAGAAAACACATTTAAATATTTAATAATTTCAAATGCTCATCTTGCCTTACTATTACTTATTAAAAAAAGTTCCTTAGGCAAACCTGTTGTTGCATTGTCATCTTCACTCGGGCCAAAAAACTGCAGCATGGTGCCATGGTCAGTGGTTAACTAATGCCAACACTGGCTGATAGCTTGGTGTGTTATGGCCTTAATTGCTTCTAAAGGTATTTTAGGTGTTCTAAAGTTAACTCTAAAGATATTTAACTTTTACACTTTTGAGTTTTTAATAAATCTTAATTCTATTTATTTTTTCAGATTGGGACCAATATTGCTGAGTATCTTCATCCATTGAATTCAAGAATCTATTGAGTTTCCTCATGTTCTCATCCTTGGAGACCACCACTTCTTTCAAGCCTTTGCTCACGTGCTGTGCTATTTATTATTGCAAAGTACATTACTTGCTAAAGTGGACGTTTGCTATAAAGCATTCTACATCTTTGGTGTGAACTACCCCAAGCAGTGTTCCCTGGTGTGGCAGACTGTTGGTTTATGGACATCCTGGGGAGGAGACACTAGCAGTAAGGGTTCTGCTAGCATTAATTTTTGCTGACAAACAGTAATCATTAATACTGTGACCTCACTGCTTCCTTGGATTCTGTGTTCTTTAACTTGTACTTTGGATTGTGGGGGAAAAGGAGCACCCAGAGAAAACCCACACGAACACGGGGAAAACATGCAAACTCCACACAGAAACACCAACTGACCCAGCTGAGGCTTAAACCACCGACCTTGTTGCTGTGAGGCAATCATACTACCCACTGTGCCACCATGACACCCATTTCTAAAGAATAGTTTTAATAACTCATTTCTAATAACTGATTTCTTTTCTCTTTGCTATGATGACGGCACATAATAATAGACTAGATATTTTTTTAAGACACTCTACACTGCAGTTACATTGCAACTAATGTTTCTTACAGACTCTTTTATATCTCAGGATTGATGTTTGCACATGATTGTTCGAGTAAAAGTTAAAAAAAGTTTTCCTATTTCAAATTTGTTTTAAAATGCTTCCATCCTCAGGTTTCATTTTAACTTTTATATCTGTTTTTTCTTCAAAACTGCATTTACATTGAACTTGATCATCCTTACTGATGATTGCTTTATATCTCATATATTGATGTTGGCACATAATTGTTAAAGGGAAAGTTATAAAATGTTTTCTTATTTTTTCCTAATGTAAAATTTGTATTTTCTTAGTTTTTATTGTTTGTTTTGTTTTTTCAAGCTGTTTGATGCCTTTTCATTATTACTTTCACATATTTTTTTCTGCATTGCAGTTGATGATTTATATGAGAATATGTTGATGTTTGTGCTCAAATTACTTTCTGACTTCAGTCATTTAGATGCATTTTCATTATTACTTCCTTATACTATTGTTTTTCTCTACTCTGCAATAACATTGCAATTGCCTTACTGATGATTCCTGATTTATAAATGATGCAAATGTTTTTGAATGTATTTCAAAAATGCATTTTCTTAAGGTAATTTGTCTGATTTCAGTCTGATGCATTGTTACTGAACTTTAGTCAGTGTTTCTGTGATACAGTTTGATAAATTTTCATAGAAATCGTCTTAACCCTTTAACTACCCTTTCAAGAAAAAAAATTGGATTGCATTTCTCAACTGCTAATGTCGCTATTGAACACAATCAGTACATTTTAACACATGTTATAATTTCTAAAATATCAAACTCTACCAAATGATTGATATGTATGTTTATGGTAAAAGTACCAGAATTATGAAAAATCTGAAAAATTATGTGTAAGACCAATTAAAGAAAAAATAAATAAATAATATATATATATATATATATATATATATATACATATATATATATATATATATATATATATATATATATATATATATATATATATATATATATATATATATATATGTATGTATGTATATGTTTAAAAGAAATATTTTGAACACTAAATCATCTTTTTTCTTATGACTTTAACAGTCATTATTTAAAACAGTAAAAACATGGTCAACCATTTAGTAGAGCAGGTAGTCAAAGGGTTAATGCTGAGGTGCAGATGGGAAAAATCTCAAATTCATTTGGACACATTTTATCTTTTGTCATAAATAAAATTCCATTACTGAACAACTATGTATTGCTGTAGAATTGTTTTTATTTTAGTGATTTTAATCATCAGTTTCTAGATTAAATTTCTGACCCATTTTGGGTTACATTCAACCCAGCAGTGTAGTAATTTTTAACTAATAGTTGGGTTAAAATCACAACCCAGCATGCTGGGTTAAACTTGTAACCCAACTTGCTGGGTTAAAGTAACCCAGCGTTGGGTTTGTCCCTTTTTTACCCAGCGCTGGGTTACCAAAACAACCCAAATTGGGTTGTTTTCAACCCAGCAGTTTTTAGAGTGTATCAATAAGCAACCAATTAGGCATTTATTTAGCTAGTACTCTTAGTTAATGGTTTGCTAATAGCATAAATTGTACAATAAATTATAGTGGCACCACAATTTCTCATCCGATGTCTTGTGACACTAAAATTAAGATTTATTTACAAAGTAAACTGACTTTAGATAAGCTTTGCTCTTAGTCAACTGTGCCATCTAAATATTTATATAAATACTTCAGTTTTTTCAATAAATAAATTCCATTTTAACCAACTCACACTTTTAAAATCTAGGTTTTGTTACATATTTCAGAAATCAAGTCCTTTTGCCCCTTCAGTAAAGTAGTTCTCCACTTATTCCAGTGGTTGTTTTTTTTCTGGAAAGCAACAGTTCAGAGTGTAAAGAAGACACAGATAGTCAAATATTCAGACTTGCCTGAAAGCTCATGTGGAGTCTTGTCTTGTCTTCTTGAGATGATTCTCAGGAGTCTGACCCGTATTTATTGGGCTCCTTCAGGAGGAGGATCCGCAAGAGCTGATGATTGACAAGCACAAGGAAACCATAACTGATCTTTTTTCAACACATCCTCATTTGATCATGACACACTTTATTGTTTCATTGTTTTAACCTTCTAGTCGTGTTCGTGATTTACAACTTCATAAATATTGTGTTTTACATCTGATTGCCTTATGATATCTTAGTGATGATCATCTAAAAAATGAGCAAAGTATAACTAGTGCTAGTCCTGTGTACATGCTCACCGTGTATACCCTCAGTCACTATTCCCTATATTAGTACACTTGAAGGAGGAAAATTGGATCTCAGAACACAGGAAAGGACAGCATTTCGTTTGTGCTTTGCTGGTTAATTAAATCAATAAGATGATTAAAATGTCAATTTCTTTGGCCAGACCCTGTGATAGTTATTTTAGCGAGCTGTCTATTAGTAATGAAACTAAATATTTTGGTTTCTGCCATCTGTTATTCATTTTGTAATATATTTTCAGCGCCTATTTTTATTGCAGTTATTTGATGTCTAATTCTGTAAATTCATGTAAAACTCTTCTTTGAGATTTTGTTTACAGCTAAAGAACGTTAAATTAAAATTTGCTGGAGCAAAAGGATTGTTGTGCTAATATAAGAGCAGTTAATACAGACCGGTCTATTTAGACCGGGAACACTAAAGTAAGGGGTGTGATGTGAACACGACAGGAGGGTTAAACAAGTCTCCTGAGTGCACTGTTAATGTACAGGCTGCTGCTTGGCTGTATGCATAAGCCCTGGTGCTCTTTGGGTTAAGAGGAGTTTTAGCTCATGCATGTGACAGGTGTGGCAGTCTCTAATGCACAATGCTGGAACTGACCAGAAAAGCAGACTCCTGTGTTTGATAGAACGAGAACAATCATATTTTTCAGACTATACAAGAATAAACCTTAAGACTAGTCTAGTGTAATGTCTTTAAAACTGCATGACCTGCAGACTCTAATTACAAATCCTGCTCATTAAAATGGTCTTGAAGTAGTTTTGAAGAAGTTCAAAACTAATAAATCTATTTTATATCAATATAAATTAAAATTAAAATATTCCATTTCATTTACCCTCTATCCTTGGGCAAATATTACATGGGATAATTTGTATAATATTATTTTTTTGTTTTTTTTCTTCACTTTTTTCTGGCACTGAACACAGATCAGTTCATAATTAACTCTGCATTGCACTCATGATTATAGACATATACTACAGAAGTGATAAAAGTTGATTATAAATGCAGATGAAAGTCGAGAGGTGTATAAGGAAATGTTTTAAATTGTCCTTTTGGGAAAAATACTTAATCTTGGTCAAAAAATAACTGCATGAAAAAGGTTCAATAAGGACACTGATTAACCTCTCTGCCTCTTGAGAAAACGTGAGCAGAAAATACTGCAGTTTCCGGGTGACACTCGTTTTCAAATATATGAGACGGGGTATGAAGGAAACATCTCTTCATTATGTTCTACCAACACCTAATGTCCAACTAGCTGGAAAATCTGAA